GTCACTAAATTCAGCATGTAACTGACTCTGCAAGTGGAAACTTTCCTTTAGGGTCAAACAGTTGAGCACTGGACAACTGTCATCTGGTAGTCTCAGGCTCAACTCCTAACAGAGACACTTGGAGAATACTTCGCTTACATTATACAGCAAAACTTGTTCATGGTACCACCACCATTATGAGACCAGCGACTTGAGTGACCACCTCTGTATAAGAGACCACGTAGTCTTAAGTGATCACTTTGGTCAAGTGACCACCTCTATTAAGAGACCACCTATGTTAAGATACCACCTCTATTAAGAAACCACCTGTATAAAGAGACCACCTGTGTAAAGAAACCACCTGTGTAAAGAGACCACATTTCTTGAGTGACCACCTCTATTAAGAGACCACATTTCTTGAGTGACCACCTCTATTAAGATACCACCTTTCTTGAGTGACCACCTCTATTAAGAGAGCCCCTGTATTAATTAAGAGACCACATCTATTAAGAGACCACCTATGTTAAGAGACCACCTGTCTTAAGTGACCATATCTATTAAGAGACCACCTGTGTTAAGAGACCTCATTTCTTAAGTGACCAAAACTGTTAAGTGACCACCTCCAGTGAAAAATACCTGTACTTAGAGATCAATTCAATGTTCCCCTTTGTTGTGATTTTTCATGAATTTAACCTTCATTAAGAGACCACTTGTGTTAAAATACCCCATTCTGGACTTCCAATTGGTGCTCTCTTGATGCAGGTTTGACTATGTATGTGTGTACATAAATATAGAGCATTTTGGCAATATCTATACACAAGCCAACTGTATAATATCTTGTTATGGTTCTGTGGAGACGTCCAAGTGTCAACAATGTCATAACATTACGATAAACATGCCATAGGTCGGATGTATTGCAGAAAGCATATATTGCATGAAAATTTATTGATATTCTTCATAAAAAAGGGCCTTGAATGCACTTCCATTTCATGAGATTGATGAAAAATGTAAAGAAATATTTTATTTAGCTAATAAAAGACTCAGTTCTGCAGACAATTGTAGACAGACGTATCTAAGTCACGCTATATAATAAAACACATAAGGGGGAAAAATAAAAAGGTTGATGCAAAGTGAAGGATGCTAACGTTCTCCCTGGTATAGAATTTGTTTCCAAATAAACAAATAATATTGCTCTCCATTGAATTATACAAAATAGTGAAAAAGTTACATTTATGTCTGATTCTATCATAAAATATTTATTTATGCATGTCTGAAAGGAAAAAAGACAAAAGGCATAAAAATTAATGTTTGGTTTTCAGACGTCAGCAAGTAATAAAAGATTGTGAGCTCTAAATCTATTTTTTATAATTTAGAGTGATTTATATTTACGAAAAGAAGAAAGATAGAAATTGTTTATTCCAGTTTGAATGTTTCTAAGTCCTTCAAGCACTAACAGTTGTAGAATGATGTTGCCGAAGTTACTCAAAGCATCGCTAGCTTAACAAACCGATTACTCAAAATTTCGGTATTGAATATTTTCATAATTGTTAACATGCGCAACGAAATCAGCATGTTTAACATTTGAACACAATCAGATGAAAACAAGTAACATATGGAAATACTTTTACACTTTCAATTAGTAATAAAATATTTTTTAACAATTTTTGAAAATTTCATTTAATTGGCTGTAATGCGATATGACGCATGGTTCTTCGAACACCTGGGCCCATCGTGTGTATTACATATAAATTAATGAGTATCTTTTACACCATTTAAATTTTTAATTAAATAAAAAATCATGAAACAAGTGTATAAAAGTATATTCGTATTCACTCTTGTGAATGGCCTGGGTGGAATCACTTAGGGGGTCTCAATATATGGTGGATAGACATAGGGGAAATGCATATGGTCGGGCAGGTGTCGCCTCGTAGCTTACACACTGGATCGGGGTTTCAACCTATGGCCATGTTGGTGAAAGAGAGTGTGCTATATATCCTCTGTGCCACCCTTATGAACTATTGAAGTCTAGTTCAAGCCGAGAGTAAGCTCAATATGCAATAACCTTCGTATATTGTAATTATGATACGCAATGTGGTAGGTACTTTACAGTTTTACGAATAAACAATTAAATAAGATTGAAATCCCCGAGTGTCACAATGCCCCATTGATGTCTATGTTACATACCATTTGCCAAGTATTGTTAATAAATGTTCAGATTTAAGAAATTCAACACATGATATATAACACGTTTATTTTTTCTTTTGATTAATCGTGAGATCGTGATATCAGATTATTGTGTGTTAAATGTTTCTGTTTCGAAGTACATGAACAAATTCTTTGTGTTTTTGAAAATGTTTCGATGGTGAGGATACTTTTTTAATAACATTTTCACTTAACACAAAGCTTGTCAGATCAAATGTAGATCTCAAGTTTTCTGTTTCCAGGTGTAAACCTCTAACAGGTGGGAAAAGGATGAAAAGCTAGAACAGCAGGTCTTTTGTCCAGACAAACAAGTGCTTCGGGCCATACTTCTCACATAGCTCCTTAAGATTACACAGTACAAGTTAACAAGCACAGAGTACTGTCAGCTTAACCATCTCAAACTATAATTCTAAATCATGTTTAGGTTCTTCATACATCTTCCTGTGTCGATTAGCTGGGGAGGATAACATTGAATCCTTATGATATGTGTTTTAAGTTTTAAATTAAATAAGATATATGAAGACACCCACCCAGAGTGAAAGATTGATTATCAGTGACTCTTATAGAGCTGATATCGGATTAGAATGAGTGCTCGAAGGACTCCATTTCAAAAAAGTTAACCAGGGAAGATAAAACTATATCAGTGTAGATTTTAATTGAATGTGTCTGTCTGATACAAAGAAAGAAAGAAATTTCAAATATATTTGGAAAAAAATATTTCATTTTTTTTTTATCTTTAAGTCGGTGCAATTAAAGACTTGGATTTGAATTAATGTCAATTTCCTTTTTTCTAACGAAGCGAAGCTTTCAACTGGAGTTGTAACACAGTATAAGGATTCTGTAAGAATACTGGAACTGATATATGTACAGGGCAGGCATGCATGCTACATGTGTAACTTTTGCAGGATCAGATTAGCTATAGAAAATGTAGCCAGGGACTGCATGGTGTGAACAATCTCTATGGACCGTGAAGAATGACAGCATGCATTGCTAGTGGGCAGAATTCAGGAGCAACTGGTACTTAAGGGGCAAGCGCTGAAGCTTATAACGACATAATCTACCATAATTATGATGGTCTTCTTGGGTAGAGATGTGGTCCTATGATAGAAAAACAGGAAATTAAAAGAAAAAAAGTAATGAATAATATTGTGTATTAAAAATATTGTACTCTAAGTAGACAAGGAAATTTAAAAAAAGAAAAACGGATTTTTTTTAATAGATTTTAAATAATGAACTACTATAGTATATACATGTACCAGTATTAAAAAAGTGGGAAACAAGATAAATAAGCTGAAAAAAGGGGAAAAAAATTCAGGTTAAAACAAATTTAAGACAGGATGAATGTATTTTGGACAAAAACTTGAATTTGGAGATAAAATGTGGAAAGAAAGTTTATAGAATGAGAGAATTTACAGATGAAATGTATAGTTCTCGAAAGGAAATCCGACACTTCAGCTATCAACGGGGGAGAGCTTAGTTACATGATGGCTTTTCATACAGGTTGAGAGATAAAAACCGAGATTTAATAAACAAGAAAGAACAGAGGATAAAACAAACAACAAATATAAATAAACACTTTGATTTACAAAGTAATTTATTGTTGAAGATGTTTTTTATTTATTGAGAGAAAACAATATTGTTGATGAGCAAATAGTTGTGATTTTAATGATAAATAAAAACAGGAACATTTTGTTTTAATCTTCACAATAAAAACAGATAAACATATCTTTATAGAAAGATAACACTTATGGTTACAATTATTCAAACGTAAAAAACTGGTTGTGTGCCAAATTGGCCAAAGGCAATTGTATCTACTTGAGGCTGAGATCAACAATCTGAACCAATTACATAAATTGAGTTGAGTAAATTAATGCGTTATATATATCGTGAATCAAAATTAAATAGCTGATACCAAAACAGATTGTAATGAAACATGAGTTTCACATTTTTGGAATGATGTTCATTGCAGCTATATGCATTTTGAGCTTTAAATAGAACTAAAACCGAGCTAGCAGCTATGTGAGATTGTTGGGTAATCGCTGAGAGGAGATGGGTATTGCTGTAGACCTATAGGCTTGGTCTATTATATAGAGGTTTTTACAGTTTTGACTTCTAAGTATGCAGGCTCTTCAACACTTCAGCAGGTGAATCAAATATTGGGGTGTTTTTTTTGCTGGCTTAACATAAACCATCTTCTAGCTCCTGCAAATAGGGAAACTCTGTTTAGATCTATTTTGTTTTGCTTGCTATCACACACGGAAATTAAATCCACACAGCTTGGCTTCTCTTTGACTTTAATGAGGATAAAATACTTAGCACATGGTAGCTGTATGCTCATTATCCTGTCCTGGGGCCCCTATCTGCGTATAACTCCTACTGTGAGGCTATCGGGCCTACTATTGGTTGTTGAACTGAGGGGGAGGGATCTGAGCTATCATCACGCTTCCCTGTCAGTAAATACAGCCACATGGGTCCAGGTAATTATAGCTAGAGAACTTTTCAATGGTTCAAGACCGAACTCTACCACACACAACCGGGGACCAGTATTGTCACTTACTACAAATATGTGAAGAGAAAATTGAATTTAATGATCTGAGAGTATTTTGCTTCGCAGGGTTCGTGTGGAATACGTAAACTTTTTTAAAAGACAGCGTGCAGTGTTTTGATATAAAGAGAGCTGTGAAGTGGGAAAGCGAAAGCAGAGTGGCGTTGTGTATTTTAGTGTACAAACATATAGCAGGGCTGCTGACAGTGGCTGACAGGTGTAACAGGCCATGTTTATTCCTAATGGTCAATATTTGTCTTACATTACATTACAGGAATTCGACTGGAGTGACCAGATAGCAAATACAATAGTGGACAGAGACTGACCAGTGAGGTGGAAAGAGATATTTAAAACAGAGTCAAACCCCTGCAGGCGCAGTGATATGGATTTTGTCAGCTAATGAAAAGTCGGAACAAGAGATCATAGGCACAGATAGAGCTGAAGCAGGGATGGTATAGGAAGTGTTTAAAACAAGGGAACTGATTCATACCTATTGGGGGTGTGTGCTGGCGGTCAGTGTGGACACAGGTGGTTATCTCGTTGCTACCGGACTGGTCATCTAACTATGGTCATCACACACTGGGTCATTTGACACCACATCTCACCTTTGAGGTGATGTGATTTCTGAAGATTATCTCTGGTATATGTTTTTTAAAATCATGGAATCTACTTCTGTTTCTCGGAATTTTGTGATGGTTTTTATGACAGTGTGGTATTCGTCTGCAGTGGTTTTGGGCCAAGGTGTTGAGTACTATCTACCAGAAGGCGATCAAACGGACCGATTCATTGGCAATGTAGCATCGGATGCCCGACTCCAGGAGGTGGTAGATAATACAGAATTCCATAACTTACGATACAGCTTCCTAACAACGGGTAGTGAGTATGCCTCTCTTTTCTCTATAGACGAACATACTAGCTTCTTATATACAGTCGGGGCATTAGACAGAGAAACAATATGTGAGTTCTCTCCCTTATGTGTCTTATACCTTGATGTAGCAGCTCAGTCCACCATGGGCAGCTTTTTCAAAAAGATCAAGGTCACCCTTTATATTGAAGATGTCAATGACAATGCACCTATATTTGACAACCCTTCCATAAGTCTGACCATATCGGAGGCGGTGCTTGTTGGGACATCTATCACTATTGATGGAGCCAGAGATCGCGATACGAGTGACCATTACTCTCTCCAGTCTTATAATGTAACGCCAAGTACTTCGCCTTTTTCCATTAAATTCTTAAAGAATTTAGACAGTACTTCTGTTGTCCAGTTACTGGTGAAGGAAGCTTTAAATAGGGAAATACAAGACTTTTACCAAATCACAGTCACCGCTGAAGATGGTGGCTCCCCACCGAAGTCTGGAATTCTCAAGGCTAATATTTCCATTTCTGATGTCAACGACAATTCGCCAACCTTTGGAAGCTCCTTCTATAATATCACTGTTCGCGAGGACATCAATGTTTCAACGGTGATAATGGTCGTGTCTGCATCTGACCTTGACCAAGGACGTAATGGGGATATATTTTACAGGCTAAGTCCGCACCAGGAAGTGACCAATCTACAACACTTCAGTATTAACAATAAGACGGGTGAGCTATACGTCATCAAACCCATCCAGTATGTACCTGGGCAGGTGTACAAAATCATTGTGGAGGCCAGCGATAAAGGTGACCAGCCCCTCACCTCGCAGACGTTCGTCCATGTTTCTGTCACGGATGTCGGAAACAGACGTCCAGTCATCACCACCAATCTTCTTAGTGGCCTTGATATTGCCAAGATCTCGGAATTCGCTGATCTTGGTGCTGTCGTGGCGCATATAGCAGTGGAGGATCCAAACTCGGGACGAAATGGTGAGATTGACTGTTGGGCCGAGGCCGATGCTTTCTCTCTACAGAGGCTCGACGCTAAAGAGTTCAAAATCGTTGTCAGTCAGAGTCTTGATCGAGAGATGCAGGAACGACATGACGTGAAGGTCATGTGTCAGGACAATGGAACACCACCTTTAAACGACAGCGATAGTTTTGTGGTGTTAGTTGACGATGTGAATGATTCGCCTCCAATATTTACGTCGCTCTCCTATAACGAGGAAGTTTTCGAGAATAATAATTTCGGAGAAGTGTTGGTTCAGGTTCATGCTTCAGATGGGGATATCGGACATAATGCCATGGTGTTATATTACAGTCGCAGTGATAACAACTATGTCAATGTTGAGGCATTGTCTGGGATCATCCGGGCCAACATGTCATTTGACCGAGAGACCACGCCAACCATCGAGTTTGAGGTACTCGCCATTGACCAAGGTGAGCCAGCTCAGACAGGCACCGTAACTGTGACCTTGACCATCAAGGATGTTAATGATGAAGCACCCGTATTCAGTAAACCAGTTTTCGTGTTTGAGATCTCAGAAAACAAACATGCAGGGACAAATGTTGCCCAGATTGTTGCTACAGATCGTGATGAGGGCGACAACTCTAAAATCGCCTACTCTATCGTATCAGGACAAAACCAGATGATTCCATTTTTCCTTTTTCCTAATGGACAAATAAAAAGTGATCGAGAGCTTGATCGGGAAGTACAGAGTGTTTATGACTTTATCGTCCAAGCAGAAGATATGGGCAGACCCTCTAAGAATAGCTCAGCACGTGTTAAAATCATAGTTTTGGATGAAAATGATAATGTACCAGTTATAACTGCTCCTAGTTCTACAAATAACAGTATCTCTCTCTCCTTGAATACAGAGATAGGGACAAGAGTCACAATCATTAGAGCGTTTGATTTGGATGAGAAAGAGAATGGATTAATTAGATACTTCATAACACAACGAAATGACTCTGACTTGTTCGAATTAAATGAAAAAACAGGATCACTTATTTTGAAAAGGAAAATTTCACAGAAATCTGGAGAAACAATTGTTTTGGATCTAATGGCATCTGATCAAGGAAAACCGAGACTCACAACAACGCGGATGTTATTCATCAAAATTACCTCCCCTACTTATTTCACGGACACTATACAGCGAAATGTCATCATCGTCATCATCTTATTGGCTGTCACAGCCGTGTGTTCTGGGGCCATTATAATAATAATTTGTGTCTTGCGACGAAATGATCGTGAAAGGAAAGACAAAGAAAAGGAGATATACAAACAAGCCACGTCCCTGGAGGGGGGTGTCAGTGTTTTCTCTCTCCCGGAGGATGATTCCACTCTCGGGGAGAAAAAGAAAAAAAAGGAAGTGAGTTTCTCCCTTGACGACGAGGATATGCTTCAGATTGCTGACCCAAATCAACTATCCGCAAAAAATAACAACCTGGCATTGGAAAAGCCATTTGAAGTAAGTGTGATTTTCAATTTACTTTTTTCAAAACTATATTAATCCATCATTTTTCCTAAGAGAAAGCCTTTCAACTTTTTACAAACAATTTTCTATTGATATTTTTCATACTAATCCATCAATCTCACTGGTAAACCGTTCAAGGCTGTGTGTGATTTTTTATTTGCATTTTCAAAAAAATCAATTTAGATAAGGTCTTCAGTGTTTGCTAAGTTTTTTGAAGCGAAAAAAAACCCCGAAAATGTTAACAAGATCAATGTTTCCATCATATTTTTATACAGTGTGTCCTGAAGACAACATTTTTTCTGCAAATATCATTGACTAGGCAAAGCAAAAATTACCATGTCATTATTTCACCCCGAGGGTGGTAAATATTCTCAAATTTTGTGATGTATCTGCCACAAAATAATTGAGAAAAATTAACATGAGATCATGATGAATTGCTTTAAAAAATAGAAAATGACATTAGAAGTCCTGTTAATTGAGTTTCAAATGGAAAAAAAAATCATAAGTAATTCGATGGTTAATAAGGGCAGTATATCATGTTTGAGAGTATTATTTTTAGTCCTCACAGTTTAATGGTATTTACTGTATGTAGTTTTGAACTGTTGTATACCAGAAACAAAGAACCTAATCCCCTCCTTTGGGAAAGGCCAAGAAGTCAGATCTTCATTTTGTTCAATCCATCAAAATATTATTTATTCATGAGGTCCATCAATAATGCTATCCTCCCCCTCTTTCACCCTCGCCTCTCCCGCTATTCTCCCTGCGGTGTTTGTTGATGGTGAATATTTCAGTTCATATATTTTTTTTGAATGTCAAATACAGGGTATGGTTAGTGTAATGTTATTCAAATTAGGTGTTAATTTTAAAAAATTACATAAATTGCACAGTTGTGAGTGTAAATCTTGTAAACCTGTATCTCCCGACTGTTTCCTGCAATATCAAATTTGTTACAATACAGTTAAAGACATTTTAATGTTATTATGTAGGATATTTTTTAATACTAGTTTTATAATATGGAATTGAACGACAAGTTTGAACAACTTTTTATTACCAAAACAAATAAAAAGTCTACTTTTGAGTTGTAATAAAAAAAAAAAAAATGCAAGGGATAAATGTTTGAAACATTCTTTTTACAATATTTTGAAAATCAAAACTATTTTTCTACTGCTTTTTAAAGGAAAGTTCAATGGAAACATATGATTTTCAAATCATAGAATTCAAAAGATAGGAACTTAAAAAAAGCCAATTGTGTGTTTTATTGTTAGGTTCAATTCGCTTTCCCTCGCAATCACATCTTACTACATACATAAAAAAATAAATGTACCGGGAAATGTTCATACTGACATTTAAACTTCAGCGGCGTAAATGACAAAATATATACGGACATTCAACATGTTAAATTTGTGTCTTGAGAATAGTCGGGGAGTCAAGCGGCCTGCACTTTACTGGAACCTCGTCCATACATCAGGGTTGACAATACAAACAGGGTCCTGAAACAGACACATATGTTCGAGTTGTTGCCACGGTAATGATATTGCGAGGCAAAACTACACACCAATAGAGTGCTATTACTCCAATAATTTTTTATAAATGACTCTTGTTTGCGGCTATAAATGTAGAAATAACAAGAAATAGCTTACTATTTCTCAAAACAGTGCCTAATCCGCTCGTAAATATATCCATAAAATTGTCCAATAAAAAAAAATGATTGTTTTTTCATGAAGTCTCTGTAGGGGTAACATTTTTTGAGTCATAACTGCCCTATCTCGCTATACGTTTAATTGAGAAGTCACCTTTGAGGAAACCATGGCAACTGGTTATTATAGTTTCATGTTTCAGGATTTATATATACATATAATATATATTAGGATATTGTGATCTACAATATAATATTATGCCCCATCTAGAAACTATAAGATAGCAAGCATTATTCAATGTTTATTTCAACTGTAGAAAGATGTAGTAAAGATCTAAATGGGAAAGTTGTTTCTTAATAGAAAAGAACTGAAGTAAGTAAAAAGACTTTGTGATGAAATAAAAAGGAGAAAAGTTTGAAAAATTTAAAATTTCATAGAATGAATATATTCATTATTCATTAGAAGATATGTGATAGAAATGAAAATTCTGACCTGAAAATTGTGGAAGTAAGATTATGTGTTGCTGACCTTCTCTATCGGAAATTTATTTTAAAGTTTATAAGTTTTAAACTATTGAATCTGGTAAATAAACAACGAAAACAAGTCTATATATATGGGCACTTCGACTTAACTGGTGTTTCAGGAAAATGTCTATTAACCCATCAAGTTTTAAACAGGCTAGCTATCTTGTGTTTTGACTGACTACGGGGCTTGATAGTGCAAAGACATTGAGGAAAATAAAGTGCCGCTAATCAGAGTTTTCTGGTCAATATCCTTCGACTGTAGCTCTATGTTGGCAAACAGGAGATAGTTTGCACCCAGTCGGAGACCCCAGCACCAACCAGACCTCCCATTGGCTGGTAGGGGAGTCTGCCTTTGATAGCTACTTGTGACAGTCATGATGGGCTGACTTCTAAATCTCCATAACATCCCCTTATCACTTCCGAATTAATGGCTCATAATATGGGTTAAAAATCGGAATTAACCCCTAATTTATAGATCACATAGCACTTATCTGTAACTTTTTAATTTTATCACATTTATATAAAAAAAAGTTGATCAGATTAGTTGGTTTTGGAGTCACTGGTGCCACAATGCTAACACGACTGGGGGCCCGACTCCCGCTAACTGTTTATTGGTTTTAATTCTTATCATTCCACGAAAGTCAGATGCTATCAGGATTTGGTCACTTTTCGAGTGAGTCTTGCTGTTTTGAATATTGACCCCCTGTTTGTAAAGCTATTAATTCCCCCTATCCTATCAGATCAGAGCTGATGCTGTTAGAATACTGATGGGTCTCCGACTGCCCAAAGAATATTATCTATGTAAAAACGCTCAGATGCCAGTCTGATAGGGTCCTTTTTTTTGTCTCTCTCCGTTTTTATGGTGATAGGGCTTTGAAATGTGACGGTCAATTATCCTGTCTCCCTTGTCCACCTGGAACGGTCAAGAACTGCCCACCACATTAGCAGCCGTGGCAGATGGCTTTTGCTTACTAGACAACACCCTGGCATTATAGAGATTGTTGCCCTTTAGGGAACTTATTTTAACTGTCAAAAATGTGTCAAAAATATCCTTAATCTGACAATCTCTAGTTTCCTCGCTTTCCAGATTGGAACAGAGCCTGTGTATGGATTCCAGAACTGATAATATAGGTTGTTAGCAAGAGTTTCAAGATCTACCGATATATCAGGTGACCGTTTGACCTTGCTATTTCACATCCTCTGGACACTGATTGCCTTTGGCTACTTCATGGTGCAGTGATCTGTCCGCTAATCAGGGAAAGCTTATCCCAGGGCAGGTCCAATCGCTGGTCATACTTCACATGTGGTGGTTAGGTGTAGAATCGGGGTGTGTGGGTTGGCATTGACTTTTCATTAATCATTTCTTGAAACTTTAACCCTTAGGCTAGATGGATAGATTGAAAAAAGTTTGCATGTGGCCATGCTAGCTAGCTCATATCGTTTCTAGACGTCTTTTGCAATGTTATTGCAGATGGCATTGCAATTTGTACATGTGTGCGAAATAGTTTGGCTTTTGATTCATTGAGTTTTTGAAGTTCTAAACTATCTTCAGCCTTATTGAGAACTGTTTTAAAACAGGAAGTCTGCGTGCATTGAAAACTTTCATTCAAGATACCTAAATGTCTCCTTTTTCATGCTGCATGTCAATTAGCAACATGCTTTTTGATTGGTCAAGCAGCATTTAAGCAACCAATCTGGCCTCAATTTCTCAAACCTTTCATAACTGAAGGAAGTACCTTGAAATTTAAGTTTTCTATAGAAAAGCTTTGCTGGAGTTGAGAAAAATCTTAATTGAAAGAAATGTTCCTCAAATTAAGTAAAGTTTTTCCTTTTTGAAAAACTAATGTATAGGATTTTCGTTAATTAAGATATGTACATAAAAGTCAGGGTCTGTGTTAATATAGATATGTTCATATATATATATACCTGTGTCTGTGTTATAATACCAGGTTTTAATTTATTTTAAATTTTTCTTTTTTTGAGATGTTAATTGTCTTCAGATATAAAATCCCCATATATGCAGCTGAACTTTTACAGATCCGAATACTTCCTTTTCTGCATAACCAAATTTTGAAGAAAAATAGTAGTAAGAAAGAAATCTTGTATTCTGTAATTATTCGCTTGAAGACATGCTGTTTGTGAGATAAGTTGGAACATTCCAAGCTTCCAGAAGAAGAAAAAACATGATAGAACTGTATTAAAGGACTCAAATTATCTCTCAACTACTGTGGCAGGAATACTAATGCAGGTTACAAACGAGCCGAGATTCTGAATAATGATCAAAAAACAACGGGATATATTGACATCTAATGAGAGATGAACAGTACATATGGTACTAAAACCTGCCTATGTTGAACGCATGGATGAGAACAGGCCTGGTCTCTGGTGGTCACTTAAGGGTACACTTACATGTAGCCCCTCTCTAGCCGTACAAGCTGAACTTTCAATTACTGCTGATGAAGGGTCTCGAGAGAGCCAGGTTTTCGGGGAGAAAAAGGTCATGTAGAAATGTAAAAGAGCTATAAAATCTCTGTTTTCTGTCGCATCCGAAAGTTTATTTTTCTCTCTGTGAGAAGCGTTTGCTGCTAGCGCTGACGTAGCTACAGTGTAAGACGTAACGTCAGTCCTAGACACATACATCATGAGACACATCGTTGATTTTTCCAATTCTGTTGTGAACGTGACATTATTGTTCCTGGCACGAATTTTTTTTAATAAAAGGACGAAAAAATAGATTGACCTTCATGTACATCTTGTATAGACTTTGGTTGTACGAAGGAACATCATGAAACTTCATGTGTTGGGTTTTATGAGTTCAATATCAGATTTTTTT